TAAATCCCAATGACTCCAAACGTGCAGAAAAAAATTTCTAAAATGTTGGAAGAAACCGAGGAAAAAGAAATAGAAGAAAATGAAAACTTTGAATTATATTGTTATACCCGCGCGAGTCTTCAGCGGCCGAGTGAATTCGAGTTGCCGTATGGAGAAAAAGCGAAGCGCTCTTCGGAGGCAACGGAGTGTTTGTTTATGTGGTTGTTTTACGCGGTGACTTGCGTACGGACGTCCGCTGAATTTCTGTAGTTGTTCCGATTTTAATAAAGCCTTCGTGTTTTGTAAAGAAATGTTCTTTGCCGAGCTTAGTTCCTTCGGATTGTGTATGTGCGCAGTGACGCGAAAGAGTGCGTGGATAGAGACCGCCGCGGACGTAACAATATTGTAACGGCTATCTACATCTTATAATTTTAAATGAAGGAATGCGCGTAATATGATAAAATATTGATTTATTGATTTATTGATTGAATTCTTGTCGGTACCAGGCTTCGATTGTTACCAACGAAGATTCAGATGACACCTCTGAGAAAGAATCTTCCCCCTCTTAATTATGGATTTGAAAGAAGGAAGTGATGAGAAGCTCGCGCGGGGATTCTGACCATTTCCACCTATAAATATGTGTACGGAAAAAGCGACCGCGACCTTTCTTCGGTACTAACTAGGCGGTGACATTAGTCAGTGGCGCGTGATCAACCTTAAGGTTAAATTCTTAAATTTATAATCAATTTCTGTAATATTTCTCTTAGGAGAATTTAAAAGCCTTCTCGATTAAATAAAGATAATTTTAAACTAAAATAATTGGGAAAACTGAAATCTTAAATTCTTCTTAATTAAAATCAAGATCATAATTCTAAATCCAAAACCGGTCGCTAACAATAGCGTAGCGTACCATTTAGTCGCAGCCAATGGTGTTGCGTCTGAATAATTTGAATTTAGAATCTTAATAATAAATAATTATTTTCAAACGTATTCATGCCCAAAAGAGGAGGGCGCAAAGTTCAAATTAAAAGATTAAGATTTCAATTAAATCAAACGATAATTTTAAATCCCTTCTCATTGTTCCTAAAACTTAAAAATTTGGAAAGACAAACTAAAACTAAAATTAAGCAAATTCCTAAATATAAATTAAGAAAAATTGATTTCGAGGTAAATTATCCAAATTATAATCAAATTAATAAGAAGGATCCCCGATACAAAATTTATAAAATTCATTTCCTATTCGGGATTGATTAATTCACAAACCGGTCCAATCCCAGGGTAAAGTACTTAAATGTATTAACCTAAAAACGGACAATCAGGACGTAACATATATTTTTTGGTGACAGCGATGGGATGCTAAAACGGTTTGTGGAGAGAAACAATAGTGGAGAGTGAAAAAATGAACACAAAAAAAAATAATAAATAAAAATAATAAATTAAAGAACATGAAGGGATCTGGTCAAACAACATCAAGAAACACCATGGAAAACTCAGGGGAGACAGACATGAATGAATTACGGAGACTAATTGGGGAGCAACAACGAATGATACAACAGCTTCAGCAACAGCAACAAAGTCAAGCCATTAATTTATCATTGGAAAGAATGATAAGTAACTTTTTACAATTTTCGATCAGAGACGCGTTAGAAGCGGTGTCTAATTTCGATGGAGAAAATATTCCGTTTGTTTACTTCGTCGAGGGTTGCGAAGAAGCATTAAGTATGGTCGCATCCACGCAAGAAGTAATTCTAGTTCGGGCAATACGTAATAAATTAAAAGGGAATGCTCACAGATCAATATTGGGAAAAATCTTTGAAAACATGCAAGAACTAATTGAATTTTTGAGAGCAAAATATGGGCCGCGAAAAACGGTTTATGAAGCGCAAGGACGATTAGCTTATCTATATCAAAAGAGGGACGAGAAGGTCGCAGCATATGCAAATCGAGTTAGGGAATTAGGAAAGCGAATTCTTGCACAAAAAAGAGAAACCGGAATATTAAGTTTGGAATTTCGAAATTCAATTGAGAAACATTTAAAAACAAGCTTCTTACGCGGATTAAATAGAGAAATAATAATATCAAAAGAAGGAACATTTGAAGAAGTAGAGGCACGGGTAATTGACGCGGAGAAAGAATTAGAAACTGTAAACATGATAAGACGTGTACTCGCAGAGAACGCGCCGGCTGAAAGACGAGCTTCGACCCGTCGCATTGAAGCTGAAATAATAACATGCCAATTTTGTCGAAAAGTAAGTCATACAGCTGATCGTTGTTGGTTGATTAATAAAAATCAAAATCAAAATAGATTGGAATTTTCCCAAAATATACGAAAGAATAATAATTATTTAAATAACAATAATTATAATAAAAACAACAATCGAGTACAACCCCCACTTCCACGATTTCAATCAAGTTGGAATAATCAAAATTCGATAACTTGCAGATATTGTAAAAAATTAGGGCACACTTGAGGAATGTCGGAAAAGAATTTTTAATAATAATAATAATAATAATAATAATAATAATAATAACAACGGCACTCGTAATAATAGCTATAATAATAATTTGAACAACAATCAAAATAACAACAATGGAAATAATTTTAGACAAAATTTACAAGCTCAGGGAAAAGGCAGATTCCCGAGATGAACGGGGCAGCCTCGGGAAAAACCAATGTCCGCCCCGCATGAAAAATCAACGCTCAAATGGAATCAAATGCAGAACAATAAATTTAACCTATATTGAGGAAGTACCAATAGTGAAATTAGAAAGCTTAAATTTTAAAGAAACTCTAAATTTCCTTGTAGATAGTGGATCAGGGCCGAATATAATTAAAAGAAGTATTATAACACCAGATACTTTCGTGGACAGGAATGAAATTTTGAAACTAAGTGGAATTACAATGCATCACGTGACCACCTTAGGGCTGGCACTGATAGATATCTTAGGATGTCCAGTTTCTTTTCATTTGGTGGAAGATGATTTTCCAATACCACAACATGGGATTCTGGGTTCAGACTTCTTCAAACAATTTCAAGTAAATGTTAATTACCAAGAAAATCAATTAGAATGGAACGGTATTATTATACCTTTTGCATTAAAAGAAGAACGAGAAGAAGAATTTACAATTCCTGCTAGATCTATTCACAAATGCATATTCGAGTCGCGAATTCAGAATTAAAAGAAGGATATGTCCCACGATTAATTGTAACAGACGATATCTACTTAGGTGATGCTTTAGTTACAGTTAAAGACGGCAAAGCTTATTTACAAGTAATAAATACAAATGAAGAAGAAGAAAGGGTATTAATTCCCACAATTGAAATATGTGAATTTGAAACAAATGATAAAGAAATCTCAAACTCGACGAACTCAATTCAAACTCAAAGTCAAGTTCAAATGAAAATCTTAATACAAGCTCGAATTCAAAATCATGTTTCCCTATAAATCAAAATGAAAGAAAGAATAAAATAATTGATGCATTAAGACTTGAGCATTTAAATAATGAAGAGCGTGAACATGTTGAAAGATTAATGCTGATGAAAAGTGCTGATTGTTTTCATTTGCCCAGTGAAAATCTTAATCATACAAATGTTTTAAAACATCGAATTCCAACAGTAAATAAGATTCCAATAAACACTAAGCAATACAGATTTCCAGTAATTCATAAAGATGAAATTAACAGACAAGTAAATGAATTATTATAGAACAAAATATAATTAAACCATCAAAATCACCTTACGCCTGTGTGGATAGTCCCTAAGAAGTCGGACTCGAAAGAAAACAAGAGATGGAGAATGGTGTTAGATTTCCGTGACCTAAATGATAAGACAATAAGTGACGCGTATCCACTTCCAAACATAACAGAAATACTTGATCAGCTGGGTGGTGCAAAATATTTTTCTGTATTCGATTGTTACGTCCAGCCCGAGGTGAATATTTTTTTAAAAAAAAATGGATGGGGCTTGAAAGGACGCTTCAAATCCCTCTCGCAGGTGGCCGCGCTGAGGCGTCCCTACGAGTCGGACACACTGTGCAGAGCTACGAGTGCGAGTCAACGTCTTGAAAAAGACGCTATGACTTCGACTGCGTGACGTGCGTCCGTCGGTCCGTAATTTAGGCAAGAGAATTTAATCTCTTTTGCCAGGGACAGGACCATGCGCGAATCTTGGAATAACGAGGAATGAAAGAGGGAGCAAATAACTAAATGATAAATAATTTAAATTTTACAATGTAATTAATAATTTTAAAACGATTACAAGGTAAGGTAGCTACAAGATCGTATCATTATTTTTTTGCGTTGAAATATATTTACTGATAATGTGTGTTCTAAAAATTGACGGATGTATTGTTTGGTTTTCTGTGTATAAATTCTATTAATCTATTAGTTTAGTATTTTTAATCTGTTATTAATCTATTTAAATTTGTATTTTGTTGTCTGTGTGTGGTTGTTTCTGAGAGGAGATCGGGTTTTTGATAGTGAGGTCTAGGGGAAAGGAGGGGAAAGAGTCCGTAGTTCGCAGAACTCGTCCAAGGATTTCTGGGTGCGGAAATCTGAATATATCTGGAGGTCATGGCGCTCTGGGAAGAGTATACTGAAATCTGGGGGTGATCCAGGTTCAGATGGTTTGATCGGGGAATAGGATGGAGGAGATATGTGTAAATAATGGGGTCTCCTGCTGGAACAACTCGTGGTTTCTTGATGTGTCAAAACTTCGGATGTCCTAGGCGAAGGATAGTTCCCTGATTGACGAGCTCGCTTGTTCCGACGATAACGAAGCCTCTTCAGGGCTCGTCTCCGTCTTTGAGCGTCGGAGAGAGTGGATGATGTAGCTTTCACTAAAAGAAATGGATTTGGAATATGAAGGAAATGTCATTAGTCGCGAACCTTAAGGCTATCTCTGAAATATTTCAGGAAACCGAGAGATCCGACAGAGGAGAGAAATTAAAAAGGGAAAGAGAAAATTGTAAGAGAGGAGAGAAAAAGGAAAAGAATAGATTTCCCGAATTACTCGGCAGCCATGAACCTGCTGAGTGCTCCGCAACGCATAGGGAGCCCGAGAGGTTCGACGGCTGAAGCCAACAGAGGAGAAGCAGATTTTGCCGAATTATTCGGCAGCCATGAACCTGCTGAGTGCTCCGCAAAGGGAACCCGAGAGGTCCGACGACCCAAGCAAAGAAGAAGAGAAAAGAAAAAGAAAAAGGGAGTAAAAAGTGTAAAGGAGAACGGCAGAGGATAGAAAGGATGTAAGGGAGGAATGAGAAAGTATAAGGAGAAGAGACCCGAAAACTATTATTAGGGAAATTTTTATGTGTAATTAAACTTACTTTTACTCTTGGAGACTTGGGACCTGCGAGATGATGAAGGCGGTAATGGTGTCGCCAGGAAACTTGATCACTTGTGCTTGTTGATTA